TCCAGTTTATCGGATCATACGCCCTTTGGACGGGGTCTAATGTCCAAGGTGCCGAATTGAGCCGGTGACCATAACCACAACAAGGAAAGTGTGTTTGTGTGTGGTTCATACACCTCTTCTTGGTTGATTTAGCATCAGAGTTTTTAACCAACTGGCCTAGGTGAACTGGGAATGATTCGTCGGCCTGGTTATAGCCTCGGATGTTGGCGTTTCATCCTCTCACTCGTGGGGAACACCTCTACCACCGTAAGGCAGTGAGTAGGGTTTCCTCAGTGGAGATGCTTGATCGTATAGGAGCATTTCGCGAGGTGAAAGGGAAGGGTTACAACTCAACACATTCTCCACCGAGCACACTGAAGCTTTCAGAAGCTCCTCAATCACAAGAACTGTATATAGAACGGTTTCTGTACATTAAATTACACTTGATGTGGCGCGCCCTACTCGAACGCACTTTATTGTCGTCTATGTGGTTTGAGTGTTAGTATATCTATTTATAAGCTCATCGCCTGGCAGACTCCATTCCTGTTTTACTGTCGAATGAGCTTATCCCGTCACCCTGGGGCGAATCCTTGATCGCTTCAGCTAGAGATCACACAATTTTAAGTTCAACACCCGTCGATCTTTTTTAGTATTCTGCCTTTTTTGCTGTCTTTCGGTCGTCCATTCGGCAGACTAAGAAAGGACCAAATAACAACGGAAAAAGCTAAGAGCACCTGCATGGTAAATATAAGGAATGCCGGTAAACCATATCCGCGCAGAACTTGAGATGTACGATGGTCACTGTTTACGACGTGCACTCGTATCAGCTAGTTTTTGCCATTAATTGGGTTTTTCATGCAACGATCAACTACTCAAATCATTGCTAGATAAGTTTCATTCCGACCCGCACCAGAGTGTTAGCTTCAGTGATACTTCACAACCTGACTTCAAGAGCGCACTGCCCATTACGTCGAGCGGGGTGGGTAGTGAGTGATGAGTGGGCTACTGCTCAGACATCCCAACGTTTGTTTAACTCTTTGTCTTCCGTACCCAACCCTCTCCTTTTACCCATTCTTCCAACTCGTAACATTCCCTCAGACAATTTGTTCGCCACTCGCCAAAGTTCGTTACCTAGTAGCGCGATAAAACGTTTACCACAAAATAGATTGCAGATTCTGGAGCCTCGTTATTCTGTCGATCTTGTGGCCTTCTACCTGATGATGCGTGCAGGTGCATCAACAAGCGTGCCTGGCACGTGCAGTGGACTCTCCGGGAATCGATGTCTACTGCGTATCGGAGACGCAAATTCAGGATCCTGGTACTGTAAACCAATTAATTGCTTCTGCATTTCAAGTGACGCCGAAGCCCGTTCGGTAGGCCACCGTCGCGTAGGTGTTGCACTCAACAATACAGCCGAAGCGTCGCTAATCGATTGAATCCTCGTCAACAATCGCTTATGTGCGATGCTAATCCAAGGGTCTATCTGTGCTCGGAAAGGAAGAATGTTTGTTCATCATTTCAACGTATGCACCGACCAACTGCAGTTCTAATGTGCAAAAATACAAGTTTTATGACAAACTCAGCGAACTCATTCGGTTGAAACGAAGCCTTGATCTAGTTGCTCTCGCAGGTGACTTCAACGCTCAAGTTGGAAAACTAAGCGCATCGGAAGCTTGCCTAGGCGGTTACTGTGCTCGATCCTGCCAACGAACGGAGAACTGCGATGACTTCTTCAGTTGCGCGCAAATCATCATCTGTTCCTATCCAATACCAACTTCCAACACAGCTCTCAACGGACAGCAACGTAGCGCTCAAATTCAATTGGCATGCTAACTCAGATCGACCACATAGCAGTAAGCTACCGTTGGCGTGGCTCAGTACAAAACTGCAGGTCCTATTGGACCACCTGCGTTGAATCTGATCATGCGTTAGTTTTGATGCGGTTCACTCTCCAACTCACTGGTCGCAGAAAATCCCACCCAACTCGATTGGCAGACCATCGCTTATCTGACCCAGCCGTTCGTGCCCGTTTTGAATCAGAAGTAGGGCAAGGGCTAACCGCACTGCGGGGTGGTAGTGTAAATGAACAATGGGATCAGATTAGCCGAGCAGTGCACTCCGCAGCGAACGTTGTTTGTGGATCTGAAGCCGTAGCCCGCTCGAGGCATTGGATATCGGATGAGTCAGTAGCACTGATGGAGAAAAAGCGGCAAATCCCAACCACCCGGGATCAAGGCAGGGTTAGGTGGCGTCTACAACGTCAATTCACGAGGAGCCTCAAGAAAGACCGTGAGAACTGGTGGACAACGATAGCTCGTGAAATGGAAGTAGCAGCTGCATCAAGGAATAGTCAAAGACTGTTCCAACTGATACGCAATACGGGAGGTCGGCGAACCCCAGTTAGTGAAGCGATCTGCGACAAAAGTGGACAAGCTGTTCACAATAGGGAACAACGGCTTGACCGGTGGGCGAGTACTTCAATGAACAGTTCAACTGGCCAGGCACTAACCAGGCTATCACCTCCGGTGTAGCTGAGGCTCCGTGAGCAGTGTCATCTGTACCTCATACTGCAGCAGAAGTACGTTCTTGCATCCAAGCCTTGAAGAAAGGAAAAGCAGCAGGGCCGGACGGGCTTCCTCCCACTCCTTTCAAGATGGGGGGCGATGACCTTGTACACTCCATTACTAATGTAATGCGTAACGTCTGGTTCCATGAACGCATTCCATCATCCTGGAGCGAATCACTGATCGTTCCAATTTTTATGAAGGGATCTCACAATGACTGCGCAAACCACCGTGAAATAAGTTTGATCCCAATCGTCACAAAGTTACTGGCCTTCATTATATTTCGATGTCTGACGCCGTTTATGGAGACAAACATCGGCGAACAACAAGCAGGATTTCGACCAGGTCGCGGTTGTATCGACCAAATCTTCACTTCGCGTCAAGTCCTCGAGCTATGCCATACTCACTTTTGACCAGCGATTGTCGTGCTCCTTGACCTAAAGGAGCCTTCGACTCAGTTAACCGCGAATCCCTTATGGGTTCGCTCCTTCGCAAAGGAGTGCTGCAGAAGTATGTGAATATACTGAGGTCACTCTACTCGCATACTTCTGGTAGCGTAAGGGTCTAAAGGGGAGCTGAGTAGGTCGTTCGTAACTAGCAGCGGTGTTTATCAAGGGTGCCCTATTTCGCCATTCGTGTTCGATTTCGTCATAGATGGAATACGGGAGAACGCACTAAGTGGTCTTCAAAATGTAGGTACTGAATGGGCAGCTGGAGAAAAGCTGTGATCTAGAGTAGGCTGACGACATCGTTTGCCTGTTCGAGTGTACGGAGGATGCACAAAACGCACTTGGCATACTGACAAGTTCTGCTGCTCCGTTCAGCGTATGCTTTGCACCTTCAAAGTGCTAAGTGGTGTTGCAAGTCTAGGTTTCGTCGAGTCCCGTTCCTTAATTAGACGGTCAGGAATTGGCTGAATTTGAGTGCTTCTCGTGCTTGGGTAGCTGCGTGTAGCGAATCGAAGGAGATAACCGCCCGCATTTCCAAGGCTCGAGCAGCGTACGCAGTATTAAATCACCTGTGGTGACGACGTGACGTTTCACCTAAATTAAAAAGTCGCGTATACTGCGCCACTGTGAGATCAGTTGTGCTTTACGGTTATGAGACCTTGAACTTGCGAGTACAAGACATCCGTCGCCTAGTGGTTTTCGACAATCAATGCTTACGTAGTCTGGTCCAGGTTAGATGGAGTGAGCGGGTTAGTGACCTAGAAGTTGGTCGTCGGGTGTTTGGAAATGTATGGAACATAGCTCGGTATCGCCTTGAATTCAGCTCAATAAGCTGGGTTCAGTGCTGTTTACACTCAGGAATGGTTGACACTCTTCTGAAATTTCATATCCGGGTCGCGAAACCGAACATTTCGAAGCGACCAACAACCTGAGACAGATAGTTAACCTACCATGTATTCCAGATGGAGCTGTCCATTAACGTTTTTGGGATCTCACTCTTTCTCTCTGGTTGACCAATTGGACCACTGTAGCGTTTCTTGGGCATTAAATTTACTCTTAGCGGTTTACCACTTATCTCAACATAAATATTTGACGCTACCATTCACTCTACTGGAGCGGCTTTTGATTTTTGTAGTTTACGATCTTTTGGGACGATTGTTATCCCACTTAGGATATTTCCAAATCTGTTTTAAAATGCACCGACATTCTAGTTCAGGTATGCACTTTTTGATTCCACATTTTTCCAAACCAGGTCAACCCAAATCCCTCAAGTGGTTCAACCGCGCATGTAATCTTGCTGGAAGTCTGATACGCTTGGTCTTCCACGGCTCTCCCGCTTTTGCATCCCATCGCCGTTTCGTGTAAGTTAAGAAAGGGTATTCATCAAGGATGCAGAGAATCAACGAACATTTAATTCGCCGCACAACCGAACTCTCAGTCTAGTCCACCACCGGTAGCTGAACATTTTGGTCGTTTGCTAAAACAGTTTCCGGTAGTTTCTGCTCTTCTCATTTCCGTCCCATATACATATGCTCTAATGATCTTTTATGTGAACCACAAGAGAAGGTTTAGGTTTTTGCTTCCCGGTTTGTTTTCAATTTCACCTTACCCACTTATCCTATTCCTTCAAATTCTTATTCCATTGGTACCCCTTCTCCACCTCATGCCCAGCAATAGGAAAACTCGAAAAGGGCTACGATTTCAGTACATATGTAAAACCACCCGGTCCGGACGGGATACCATTCATCGTCCACAAAATGTGTGCTCCTGAGTTAGCTTCTGTTTGATCATCACTTCTAACGTTCTTGCCTTCGACGAAGTTCTTCAAACAAGGGGTTAAACTTTATGAACGAAACAAATGGAGTCGCAGACACCCAAATGTGGCAGCTATACCCGTCAGATAATGGGCCGTTCCTAATTTGATGATCAATGAGAAAAAGCAGTGTTTGCTTCATGAGAGGTACATGTAAATGATCTCACAGGGAGAAGAAGGAAAGAATAGTGGAACTTACAAAGCCAGGACCGCTACCTCGTCTTTTGGAGAGTAGATAAAGCAGCAACCGGCAGGGATGAAATCCAATTTCATCATACTGATCATATCTGAAGAGGGAAAGATGGAAAAACATAAACAACCAGAGATAAATATATCAAGCTAATCATGCAATTCATTATAAGAGAGCAAAAACAAAACTGTTCTTCTCATAGATGACAAGTATTAGTTTATTAAATATCTTCATGTGATGGAAAGTAGAACTGTCGAGCTACAAAATCGCAAGTATCCTACTGTTGCGTTATAGAACCTATCAGCTTGAGGTCTGGTAACAGAGGATGAGGAATGAAAACAGCAAACACGTTCAGTAGGGAAATAAAAAGTGGCTACTTTCGACCAATTATATCTACTAGCCAAAGGGAAATGAATATCACCCGGTTAATCAACTTATTGTTATTACAAATTATGGCGTAAGCCCATTCTCACCAAGTAGGCCATTGTGTGTTCTGGATGGTTGAAACACCATCCGAAAGCTCGGTCGCGTCTATCATTTGTGATCGTGCCCGGGATCGATAGTGGGGTAAAACAAAANTGTGACCACTACTATCAAACGAAAGTGATCAACTAGCTTATACAAAACTGAGTTCAGCACTTTTAAATTCGACCAGTACCACTAATCGAGGGATACTCACTCTGTATGTGTGATTAATGACGTCAAACACACCTTTTCCCGACATGGCAGATTTTACTTGACTGCGTAATAGTTATGAGTGCATCAACGAGTATCGCTTTTCCTTGTCCACGCCAGCATAAAAACCTTGAGAATCATCAATTCTTGACTGTCTATTTCAAGTTGAAAGCAATCAAATCAAAAGTAAATATCGGACTAAATAAAGACTTCATCCTCTCGTGTTCTGCATGAGCAAAGCTTATTCCTTCTCGTGCCAGAGGAGTAATCGTCTGGGAGTACAATATAATGCAATACGAGACAAAACGCCAGCAAGACTCACCGAAATTCACTACATCGAACACTTTGGCGGTTTTGTCATCTCCCACCGTGCAAGCTAACTCTCCATCCGAGCTAGCTGCAAGACCGGTGATAGCACCTGAAGACCACAAAAACAATAATCGTTGCCATTACGTTACTGTGAATGTCACTTATTATCAGTCTATCTCAAGTTTCTTTGGAACGACGATGACCACTAACAGAGGTGAAAACTTTGTCCTGAGAAACATTCTTCTCTGAAAAGTATACCAAAAATCCAGGTTTATCAAATGCCTTTCTGTATGAACAGCTAAAGCCAAATGCGTGTAAGTACTTTTGCCAAGGTAAGTGGTGGTGACCGGCAACCCTGGGTTTCGTCATTGTGTTGTTGAGACGAGGTAAGAATACAACCACGGTCTGGTTGTAGCCCGGCCCACTGTTCACAGAAATTAGGCATCATCATCATCATTGTACACCGTAAAACAGTGAAGTAAACTTCACTGCCAAGGTAACTGAGAATGTGTGGGGAAGATAGGGATTGGATCTATTATGAGGGAAAAGAAAGCTAACGTCATACAGAGTACATAATCCAAATATGCATACACACTATTTAGGGCATTCTGATCCGCTAAAAAGTAACAGCCAAATCAACACTAATTTTGGTTTCTTGCCATGACCTGTAATGTCTACAAACCATGTGGTTATGGAGCTTTTTGGACCCCCACCCGGAAGACCAAGGATACCTACTCTACCTAATCGCTCTGGGCATTTCTTCACGCCTCGTCACAAAGTCATCTGCTGGCCTCCCCGTGGTTTACTTCAGTAAGCGGGGGTCACTGAAAATTACGCCCAATATGGTAGGCAACCATTAGACACAAGACAAACATGTCCTAACATACACGGCTTATTGAGCTGAATTCAATGCGATACCGAGCTATGTTCCATACATTTCCAAACACCCGACGACCAACTTCTAGGTCACT